ATTTTTTTCTTATGAAATGATAAAACTACCCATTTCATTATGTATGAGGTCAATTTTTATTTATTGGAGTTAAAATTAACGTAGATATATGACCGAACCTAACCAACCCTTCCTAACGTAACCTATCTCTATAGGTTAGGTTAAGTTAGGTAACCGAAAAGGTTAGGTTAGGTTAGGTAACCGAAAAGGTTAGGTTAGGTTAGGTTAGGTAGGTTAGGTAGTCGAAAAACAATTAATTCATGAAAACTTGGCTTATTAGGCAAATCGGGCCTTGCATAGTAGGCTGAGAAGTGAGTTCTGGCTACTAGGTACGACATATATATATATAATATACACATACATGCATATATACAGTGGAACCTCGAATAACAAATTTAATTTGTTCCGGCGCTGTGATCGTCATGTGAAACGGATGTCATACAAAACGAATGTCCCCATTGACTATAATGGAAATCAAATTAATCCGTTCTACCACCGAAAAACATCATTATGATATTCGATGTTTTAAATAATGGAGCAGTCTACCTTGCATACACAGAACAAACCCTTATGACATTTTTCTTTCTTCAAATTTGTTCAATATTTATTTTCATTTGTCTTATAGCAAAAGGTTCATTCGGTGTTCGGCAGGTATGCTGCTCCATTTTTTTTAACCCTTGTGATGCTCAGGGCATCATTTCCATTTGTCACCCACAGGCGCATACCAAAAAAAAAATTATTTTTTCTTCTAAACCTGTTAATTTGTGTTCTCTAATCATGGGAAAAATAATAAAAAATCGTAAGTGGCATATATTGCCTGCTATAGGGCGGGGAAGTCTGGCAAAAAACAGATGCTGACTCAGCATGCGTCCCAGACAGTCTGTTGCTCCCAGCTGTCAGGCAGGAGTGGCCACAAAGAGATAATTACCTAATTATTTCAATGTCTGATTGATTTTTCATAGTTTTTTGCTGTAATATTATTCAATAGTGTGTAGGGTGATATATTTATATAATAAAATGAGTGAATCGTCGCTGTACTCAAAAATATGGTGTGCATATTGTTGATTCAATTATTATGTTCATTAAACAGTGAACAAATACTTTGTCGGTTATTATACTATATACAGAGGTTATAACTAAGTATCTGCATGTTTTGTTCACCATAACGAACCACTAAGTTGGTATTATGAGTCAAAAAGCAATGAGGAG